GCGCGGCTGCCCCCGCCCCCGCCCACCGCGCGCGCGACACGCGGGCCTGTGGCCTCGGCTGGTGACACCGCCGCGTATTGCCTTGGTGGCCCCGGCGACTTAGGCAGCCCGAGATTCCCTCCCTGCCCAGCACCTCCATGCTGTTCTGTTACTTCAGGGAAAGCCTTTGGACAGGGGTGCAAATGTTCGCGGTCCTAAGGGTTCTGGGCTTGAGTGTGGGGAGGAAAGCGTTGACAGAAACTACAGAAGTCACTGGTGCTGATGACAGTGTTATTTTTGTTGACCTGAGATAGTGAGCATCAATCACTTGAAGGGTGCCACTGAAATGCGTGAAATGAAGTGCTTACCGTGATACTCAAGATAGCAGGCCAAAGTTTATTCGAAGGGTACTTGAAAACCTATACCTAGAAACACAGGCTTCCTGGAAGATCAGAAGGCAACAGCGTCTGCACGTGAGTGGTGTCTTAACCTGGTGTCCTCATCCCTCTGACCTGAGTGTGCACCGGCGCAGTGGGCACTGTGTGGACCAGTTCTACTCTTGGGAAGCTGGACCGGCCGGCGATGCCCTGCTAGGATGCAGGGGTTGGTGCCTGGGCCTCTAAGCAGGACCGCAGAACCTGTCATCTGGAGACAGGAGAGGGAGTGTTTGAGCCAGGAGAGCGCCTTTGAAGGTGCTGGTCTTGCTGAGGATGTTTGGATTTTTCTCTTGGTATTTTTAAGTGATGTCAGTGTTCTTTCCTTTGGAGTGAGGCCAGACTGATGAATTTTCCAAACACCTTTAAGACATCCTCAATTACAAGGAAGGGTGATGAACTTCTCAGAAGACCTCAAAAGCAGAGTGAGTGGCTTTCTGCTCAGGTACATATAGCCAGAAGTAGGTACCAGCAGGTTGTGAAATCAGACTGCCATAACTGCCAAGCTGTAGATCATCTTTTGATTGTTTTCTGATCATTAGGCGCAGTTCTGAAGGGGGATTTTGCCTCTGGTGTTGTCTGTTAGGGTTTGTGGGAGGGGCCCCCTGACAGACCCTGCCAAGGAGGCTTCATCTATTAAACAAAAATGTCTGGTCCGCTGTTTCGCTTCGACAGATGGGAGTTGGTTCCTCATTTTGGTTCTCCTAATGAACACTGGCTTCTTTGTGATCTGCTTGGAGTGTTTGTGTATCACTTAATGCTGAGCAGAGAGCTCACCCCGCCTGGGTGTGCCACCCTAGAGAGCTGCCACCAGGCCTTTGTGACAGGGCTCTGCTGGGCCAGAAGCAGCAGTGGAGAAGTAGAAGAGATGAAAGCTTTCCCAGGCTGCACGCTGCGTTGGTCCCTAAGAAAGGTGTGTGGTCCCTGGGCCAGTAAAGGCACTTTAGCTTTCTGTGTTTTTCCTGTTTCTGTGGCTAACATACGGGCTTTACTGACAAGCCATCTGCTTGTGAAGAGGACTGACCAGTCTCTTTGGTAGGTGTCTTAAAACCAAATTTAGTCCTAAGTAAAAAGCCAAAGGCAGTTTGACACACAGGCGGCATACTTCTACCAGTGGCATCTGTCCTCTCAAAGCTGCTTTTTTTTTTTTTCCTGGCAAAAGGTTAAAATGCAACTAAAATTTTGCTTTCATGATTAATAAGCCACTACCGCAGTTGTGTCTGATGCTTCCTGTTTGCCCCATTTTAGTATTTCAGTTAAACTGGAAACATCTGAACATTGTGAGCACTTTTGGTGGCACCCATGTGAAATGAATGGGAGGGGGCAGGACAGCTGGGGAGTAAATTTAGGGAGCCCTCAGGATAAATCCACCCTGCAGAGATTGAGGAAGGGAAAAGAAAGGTGGCTGAGCTAGTTCAGAGAAGGGTGAGCCTTTGAAGCTACCCCTCATGCTGTCTGGAGCAGCAGAGGGGACAGTAGGGTTGAGGGATGTGGCTCTTCGCTCTAGGCCTGTTTTTCTGCCTGAGTGGCAGAGCAAAAAATGTGTTCCTCAGTGCCTGTATATTCTGCTGCTTTGTTTTTAAAAAGTCTTTTTCCTTCCTTGCTGTTTTACATCCTTTAATCCTTTAGCTCCCTGATGTAAATCCTTTAAAACTTTGAGTTAGGAGTAATTTCTTAACACCCTTTGAATTTTCTTAGTTCTTATATAAAGAAAGACAGGGACAGAGATCAAAAAAGTGAAGCCTATGAAAGAGAAATAAAAAAGATTATTTAAGAAGTTGGTGTTGTGCCTGGAATCTAAATCTTCTTTTCTTGGCATCTGGTTTACTTCTTTTTCCACTAATGTGCTCAAGAAGGGGGGAGGGGAGGATTTAAAAAAAAAAAAAAACTTGTCAATTTTGAACTTAACCAGGGAAGTAACTTTATGGGTTAATTGTAATAATTATTAAGATTGATAATTATGAATATTGTTAATTAATAAAAGGCCAAACAGTGAGTAGCTTATCATTTGGATAGGTCTGCTTGTTTTCATTTTCCAGAAGTAGAAACTGAGGCAGGCAAGATAGTTGATCTGTCCAGAGCAAGTGCAGTGGTGCAGCTGTCATCTCAGATAGGTCTGTTGCTGCGTGCTGTCAGGCCAGCGGCTTACTTCTCGAGTGTTGTGTGTGATCCCCATCCATGAGATCAGAGTTTGTTTTTTTTGTGGAACCGGGGATTGAACTCAGGCCCTTGCGCTTGCCAGGGAAGCACCTATTCCACTGAGCCATCTCCCGGCCTGGGATCAGAAATATTTCACAGGGCAGTTTTAGGTAAAAGGAAATGAGCGGTGACAGTAAGTGTTGTGCATAGTAGCTGCTGCTGCTGCTGGTGATAGGAGTGATATCACCAGGGGTAGTTGCTGATCGCCACTTTGTGACCAGCCCTGCTTGCTGTAAGATGACATCAAGAAGAGAGGCAGTGTCTGGACAGATGTCACTCAGATTACCTCACAGGCTAGTCATTCTCAGTAGGTCCTGCAGGGGGACATTTCTCCTGTTTGGAGTTATGGCCATCAAGTTGTCCCAGCCTGCACTCATCTGCCCTCCCCACACTCCTTCTAAGCCTAAAAAAGGCCAGGCCCTGCCCAGTCAGAGTTGGCACCCATGAACACTGGCCACCTTCCAGACTCTCTGGGACTCCATGGTGTCCCACAGGTGATATACCAACCCAGCGTGGACTTTGGAGGTGAGAAAAAGGACAGTGCTGTGTAAACACAAAGCAGCAGGACTCGTATTCTGTCTGGGAGACCAGACAAAAGTGTTGATGCTGTGGGGAGGGTCCTGCCGCCACCTGGGACCTCAAGCTCAACTGGCTTCTTCTCATAACCAGGTCTTGTCACCTTAACTCTCCTCTCAGTTCTGGGGGCCCTGGGTTTACAGTGAGGTTTAGCTGATTCCCTTTAAATCTAACAAACAAACAAAGACCTTTTTATTCTTTTTTCTCCCTTAATACAAAGCAAATATAAGCCCCTACCTACTGGCATTCCCTTTAAATAACATTTTGTTTTCTCTTGGAGAAACTGTCTTGAGGGCTAGAGTCATTTCTAAAGTGAATCTAGTTTTTAGAAAAAAATAGATCACCGCAAGTCAAGCCTCCTGTGGAGCTTGCTTCAGAGGAAAAGGAAAGTGGCAGCCGGCTCTTGCCTTGAGACTGAAGGGAGAGGCAGTGTCTGGGGGCCATGTAGGCCCCAGCCAGCCTCACAGCCTGTGCTTGATAGGTGCCTTAGTCATTTTCCAAGCAACTTTGCTTAGGTGAGCAGAGCACTTTCTCTGGAAGGTGAGTCACCCTTGCAAGGTGTAGGTTTCAGGCAGTTTGTCGCCCGCATGTTGCAGAGGAAGTTCGCAGCAGACTTCATTGAGGAGCCCTCTGCCAACATCATCCTCACTGCAGCCCACAGCCCAAAGGACAAAGCAGGAAGCAACTGGAGGCTCCTTTGGTGGCTCACTGCCAGATGACTGCCCATGGTGCCATGTGGGCAGGGCACAGAGCCTGGGTCAGCTGTGTTACTGCACTCCTGGGCCACCACCTTGAGGGTGGAAAATGGCCCTTTTCCAGGGATAGTCAGCACAGCAGCAGGAGCTGGGAAATCCCTTGGCAGAGAGCAGAGAGAGGCAAACTGTACTTTGCTGTGGAAGACCTTTTGGGGAGCCCTGTCCCATGCCTTCTTCCTTGCCACTTGACCAAGAGGCTTGTGAGAGCACCAGTGATTGGAGCAGCTAGTTTGTGCTCTGGATTTTTGGAAGCTTTTAGAATTCTGAGCCTGCTGCCACCTCTGCTGTCTCACTTCCTGGGCCAGTGTTAGGCTCAGAAAGCAGCAGCAGGGTGAGCACCTGATTCTCTCCCCAAGCCCCGCACTGCAGCTTCTGCCGCCCCTTTTCCACAGAAGCCACATTCTGGTGTCCAGCAGGGCAAAGATTTGTTCCCTTATGGGTTTGGTTTTGTTTTGTTTGAGACAGGGTTTTGCTATGTAGTGCAGGCTAGCCTCAAACTCTTGGTTACCCTCCTACCTCAGCTTCCCAAGTGCCATGTGCCACCATGCACTGTCTGATAGAAAACTGTGTGTCCTTGACTAGTAGTCGGGGTGATGTTCTACTGCTAGTGGCCAGAGACATCTAGGAGCAGATCTAGGCTCACCCATAAGTGAGCTGGACTTCATGGAGCTGCAGCAAAAGGCCGATTATTCCCTTCAAGTTATCTGCTTTCTTGTGTCAGTCACAGACTCCTGCCCAGTCCCAGGACTCACATCCCAGCAGTCGCTTTGGGTTAGCAAGGCTGCGTAACCTCAAACCTTCACTGCTTTGTCAAGTTCTATTCAAAGTGCAGGCTAGAAGTGGCCCTTAGTGTTTATATCCTCCTATTTGCAGAAGGCAAAATAGTGGCCCGAGAGAGCCACCTGAGTTGCCAAAGCTGCCAGTTCAATAATGGCAGAGCCTGAACCAAAGCCTAGGCTGTATACTCTGTGTGCTGCTGCCCCTGGACACTCGTGGAGTGGGAATTTTGCCAGCCAGTGTCTCTGTTCCCCACGCCAAGCCTAAGGCTCCCATCCTTCCTGCAGGCTCTACCACACCTGAGAAGGGTGGAGCCCAAGCAGTGGCTGCCTAGGTCTAAGGAAAAGTAAACAGTAGCCTCTTTGCCACTCTCAAACCAGGCAGTTCATGTAATCAAAACAACACAAAGGTGATTTAAAAAACGAGATTCTGGGCAGCATTACCTGGAAGTTCCAAAGGTCACCTGCACCTTCAGGATACTTCCTGAACCCTTGTCTGTCTTGCCAAGCAGTCTTCCCCAGGGAGGGCATGTGGTGACTGTTGATGACTGATCGCAGAGTCCAAGCCCAGTGGACGCCTGGACACTGCTCTCTGCAGCACTGAGCATTGTGGCTGTGCCATGGTTTTCTTCTTTCACCAGAGAATCAGCCTGAGATAATTACCCATAATATCCATGTCCTCAGCTCTTTGCCCCTTGCCCAAGAGAGCAAGGATATAATCCTATTGGAAAGCAATGCACCACTGTGTCCTCGAGCTGGTCGCTCAGGCCTGTGCCCAAGCACATGGAGGGCATCTGAAACAGGTCCTGCCAAGGTTCTTCTGGCACGGGCCGAGGGCACCATGTGCTTCCTCCCTCCTGTGCCCATGTAGCAGAGCCTTCTTTGAACAGCAACATTGTTGGGGTTTCTTGTTTATTCTGCACTTCTGCAAACTAGTTCCTCAGTTTTGGAGCCGGCCAGGGTGATGCGCCTCCCTCCAGGGACCTGCCTGTCTTCCTTCATGGCCCTTGGCTTAGGTAAGCCGTGCCTGAAGCCAGTCCCCTTTGGAAAACTTGACTCCCAGACCCAGAAAGGAGAGTGTGGTTGTGCTGTGGAGTGGGGCTGATCACAGCCTAGGACCACTGCTGGTTGTGAGTCCAAGCCGAGAGGTAAAGCAGGATTGCTGGTGATGGCGACCTCCAAGTGTGGCAGGGCCACAAAATGCACTCTGACCTGTGAGAGAGCACATGGCTCTGGAAGCTTTGGAAATGTGTCGAATATTTAGTGACACCAAATAGCAACTTGCAGATTTCAGTGGCACTTAAATGTTGGATATGGCGTACATAAAAAAATCCTTGCTGCTTATTACAAAGTACACTTATGCTTGTTTGGGTTTTTTTCCCCCCCTTGGTACTGCTTTTCTCTCCATATTCTTCATTACAGTTTCACCTGGTCTCTGGCTTGGTGGTACACTCAATTTTTTTTTTTTTTTTTGTATTTTAGGGAAGGGTCTACATGGTGTTCAGGGTCTCACTACTAAATCAGACTAGTAGTGATCTGCCTCTTTACAGCCTCCCAAGAGCTGGAATTATAGGCACATGCCACCATGCACAGTCTCAATTGCCTTC